CCTGGTTCTAGCTGACTTTGCTAGATCTAGGCTAACCTGTTGTCAGTGAAGTCATTGAAGATAAATGTGGGCCTCAGGCACTGAGTTGGTAGAGAGAGCTACAAGTTCTTTAGCAGCTTTCTGTACAAATCACCCATTTGTTTGGTATCTCAGTTTCCTTTCTGTAAGTTACCTTAAGTTCTGCAGCATGCTGCTGGCATTTCTTATTCCTCCTGGTAGTAGTGTCCTTGGAGGGGAAGATCTTGATACTGCTTCGGTTCCTTTGGGTGATCTGTGGTGAGACCAGCACAGCTGTTCTCTCAGTCTTCTCAAATGTTTGCTGAAGGCTGCGGGTTTTTACTTGCAGCACTACAGCAGTCATCGTGCCCTTCACACCCTGCATATGAGTGGCTTTTTATCAGCAACTGCCACATTTGTGGCATTTACTGCAGGGAAGTCTGAGTTAAATGGAATATGCAGGTTTGTTTGGAGCTGGAGGAAGTGGGCTTGGGGACCAAGGGGCAGCAGCGTCAGGTAGGTGGGAGGAGCAGGATCGTTCTGTCTGGCTCTTTGAGATAACACACACACTGGTCTTCCCACTTAGCCCTGCTTTGGGCATCTGCCTCCACCTGAGGAAAGCAAAAATGTATTTCGTAACAGGGAAGGATCCAAATTCCATGCCAAGTTGGTGGCAGGGGATATAAATCACTTCGTTTATGAATTAAAGAATTATAATCATACAAGAATCAGTTTGTTGATGTATGTCCTTGGTAGACTGAAACCTGCCTGCCTTACTCCAGATTTTCCTCTAAAAAATAAAATGGTGGAGTTTGGACAGGGTGGATGGGCGGTTTTAATGAGTGTGAGATATCAGGGCCCCTTCCTAGCAGCAGATATGGCAGCAAGAATGCCGTCCTCCATCTCCTTGAAAGGAGCCCAACGAAAAGAGATGGAGTGATGGGATCTGAAACAGAGTGGGCAGAACAGCAGAGCCTGCATCCAGGCAGCCCTGACCCTGGTTGCTTCTGAACTAACTAAAAGCAAATCACCTTTCTGACCTTTGTTTTCTCATTCTTAGGATCCATTTGCGTTCTGCCGAGTTGTGTTTCACTTAGGTTCCTCTTTAAATGTCGAAGAGCGTGTGGTTGTTGGGGCTGTTCCCATATGGGGAAATCTTGTTCAGCTTAAGACATGAGAACTCTAGGAATCAAAGGTTCTGTAGCTTTGACAAAACATCAGTGCCAAAATACTTCTGTGCCTGGTCTTTATTTGCTTTTCAAAACAGAGGTGCAGCACTGTGCTGTATCTTGGGTATGAATATTAAGTGCCATGAAACTGAGTTGTCATCTAAAGACAGATTCTAGCTATCAATTCTGGAAGAAAAAGAACTGCTTGTCGTGGCTTTGTGAGTTTTGCCTTTCGGTATTCCACATCATACCATCGTGTGGGGCACTGGGACTTTCACTGTCAGTGCTCAAGTCCTGGGTACCTGCCCAGAAGAGAACAAGAACTGCATTCCCCAGGGGACCTTGCGCTCAGGGCGAGGAGGTTGAACTCCTGGCAAGGTCTCCTGATGCTCTTTCTCGCCTGCCCTTCGTCCTGGGCGCTGCTCCCGTCTCCCCGCTGCTCAGCTGCACTGCGCATCTCACCTCAGCCTTGTGCTGAGGCCTGTCCACCTTTTGGACATTCTCATTATATTTGATTTATTAGCTTCCATTCTGATTATATTGTATTACAGTGTGTTCTCTTGCATCCCGATAATATACTTAGTGAATTCGTTTGTTTCTCCTCAGATCGGTGCCGCTGTTTTTAATTATTTTGGGGTCCCCTGTTTCCTTTTTTTTCCGGAGGCGCAGATCTGCGGTTCCCTCCGCCCCGCTCGTCACAGAACTGGGCCGAAGCAGCCTGTGAACCACTGACACTGCTGTATGGTGTTGCCGTAGTGCCAAATGAGTTGGGTGAGGACTTGACATTAAATAGTTTTGCAGAACTTTCACTACATTGCAGCCCGAGGCAAACTGGGCAATCCTGCCTTCTCGCTGTTTGCAGAGGATGGTGTTACCGTGACTGGCAGCAGTTCAGCAGCAGGTTGGGGCAAAACGCTTTGTATTTTTTGATCAAAGGGAGGCAGTTGCTTCAACAGCAGAGAATTTAAAAGGATTCTTTTTAACTGCTTCTTTCTGTATTAAACATGACACTGTTGCGAGGAAGGAAAAGCTCATGGTCCAAATTCATCTGTGGAAATTGGCAGCGGTGAAGGAGAGGGAATCTGCAAAACAGTGAGCAGGGTTCCTAGGAGAGAGCAATAAGCAATTCTGCTTGATTTTGCTTCCTTTTCTTTCCTGCTATGTTAAATGCTGTCCTTTTCTAGCAGGCCATAAGCCTGCAGTCCCCTCTACCTTACAGCTGGAAAGTACCAGCAGGGAAAGTTCCTACAGCTCCTTCCCATTGCAGCAATCCGTGTGAGCCCCGCTGCGCTGTGCTCTGCAGAAGATCCTCCAAAGGCTTGTGACACATTTAGAGCGCTGGCTGGGCTCTGCAAAGCGTGCCCTTTGGGTGGCATTTTTGCTTTGTTTATGCTTTGGGATTGCCTGGGAATTTCTCTTAATAGGACATTTGTCCTGGCAGACCAAGGCCTGGTGGTGCTTTCCATGAGAACTCAGTGATACGTCCAGTGATCCAGGGTGTGCTGTGACCTACAGCCCGAGAATCTTTCACCTGTGATTTTGTTGAAGGAGGAGTTGCTCTTGACTGCTTGAGGAGAGGAAGAATTCGGAAGCGGTTCACCGTTATAAACGTGACACACATCTGAAGGGATGGGTGAGGACTCTCCTTAGGCAGCAGATATAAAATCTCCTTTTTTGGAAACATCAGCTTGTAGCGTGTGGTGTGGCACCACTCAGCTGTGTCCTTTTTTATCTGAGCTCACACAACACCACCCTCAAGATGATGGAACGTGGTGCCATTGCTGAACCATGCGTATTATCTTGGGTTTCGTATGATTGCTGTTTTGTGGCTTTTTTTTAGGCCAGAACTCTGGCAGTGTCCTTGTTTGTTCGAGGCAGTTGCTTTATCCTCCTCTGTGAAATGCTCAAGCATTTAGCTGTTAAATTGGCAGTTAACCCGAGGAAATACATAGCCACAGATTGGGGCTGAGGAGCACAACAGCTGGAGGTGGCGTTCCTGCAGATTGCTTTCCCACTAATCCTGTAACACTCTTGGGGTTTCTTCCTGTTCCAAAGTTGCTTGCTGTTTGCCCATGATAGAAGCAATCATTCCCTGGGCACTCCATGAGAACACTGAGATGTTTTTCACGTGGCTTATATACATGTGTGTTCATATGTGTGTATATGTATATGTATATGGCTTTTTTCCTTGCTGTTGATGTGTGTACATATATGTGTGTACATATAAAACCCACCCTGAACTTCCATCTGTAGGGTTTCTTAGTTCAGCCTCCCTTTAGCAGTTTGATATGTGATCCTCATCAGTGCTACATGAAGTATGGCTGTTCCTGGCACTATCAGGCTGCTCCTGCTTTCATTTAAGGTAGTGGAGGAGAGCTGGGGTGCCGACAGGAATGGTCTCATTATTTGCTGCTGCTTCTCCTGTGTGTACTTAGTTCCTCTTTAGCTTGATGTGATTTGTCATAATTTTCAAACCTATTTTAACACATCTGTAGATCCCTTCATAAGACACTTCTCTGTTCTTGACCTTGAGGTTGAAAAACTTTCAAATCGTCCCTCCTGTGCATCTGGGCTTTGCATAAGCGAGAAACTCAGTTTCCCTTCCTCAGCCAAGCCTTGTCTCTGTGCAGTGATTGGGCTGCTAATGCACAGCCACCTCACTTGTGGAGATCCAACACCAATGTCCTAGAGGGAAACTGTGACCTCGGGACTTGGGAGTGCTCCCTGTGATGAGAATGAGCAGGAGAGGTGTCTTGGGGACACGGTAGATGATTGCAGATTCGTGGGCTGGTTCACGGTAAGATGATGGGTTGGTAGTTAGGATGTGTTGGCGGTTGGATTTGATGATCTTAGTGGTCTTTTCCAGCCTTAATGATTCTGTGATTCTGTAAGTGGACACATGGGGATGGTTGGTGTTGAACTTGATGATCTTAGTGGTCTTTTCCAACCTTTACAATTCTGTGATATTTCAGAGGAGCGCATGGAACTGGCCACACAGCTTCTGCATTGAAATCTTCAGGTCTCTTAAAGTTCCAACCCAAAATGGTGGCATTGGAGGTCGATGCTGTGGACTTCAGGCTGCTAATAGGCTTCATTTCCCTGTGACCCAGTTAGTAAAGATGTCTTTACCTGGAAGCTCCATACTGACCTGCAGACTTCCTTACCTGAAAGGGATTCTCCCTAAGAGCTGTGCATCGCCTACATGCCACATCTCTTACACATATTGTGATAAAAATGGGTTTGTAAGGATTTTTAATATGATTCTTTTTTTTTCAGACAATCCACAGCTGCTTATCAGATCCCTTCATTGCTGTGCTTCGCCTTCCCTTTGATTTCCGTTCCCAAGAGACTTGGGCACATGTGCATCTAGTTTTCAGAGCGGCCTGCCTGAACGCAGGCAAAAAGACAAGGTGCAGCACTGCTGTGCTCTGGGGCTGCTCAGTGGCTCATGCTGTCCCTGCAGGGCAGAACCCTCAAGATGTCTGAACCTGCACAACTTGGGTGTGCACTTGCTGTATATAACCTGCTTGTCTTAAGGCTGCAGTGCAGATTTCACAGCCTGTTCTTGCACAGGAGACACAGAGTAGCTCTGCAGGGAGACAAGCACATGGAATCCCGGTCTCCGTAAGGGAAGCTGATGCAGCACAGACTGAAATCGTGTCCTGTGCTCCTGGCTGCATGGCTGAGCCGTGCACAAGGACACTTGCCACTGTGTCCAGAGTGCTGGCATAAGGCATCTGATAGAATGTGTTGTAATCATGTGGGCTTCTCTGCAGAGGATTCCATTCTAACTCTTGTACGTTACAAGGAGGCTCTGCAGTAAGTTGCTCACAGGTTTCAGGCACTGAGGCTGCAGTTTTCCCTCTCCTCCCCACACCGTCAGTCTGCCTCCACCTCCTAAAGTATCCTGAAGACTTTGTTTTGGCTGTTCAGGGCATGTTATGCTGACCTAACCGAAGAAAACACCCATGCTTATTGATTGTTGAAGATTATTGGTAACAATGGTGGCTTTGAGGAGGGATTTTTCTTACCTTTCTGCATCCTTTCCAGGGGCAGGGAGGCAGTAGTGTGCACCCGATGCTAACACACTTGTTTGGAGCCAGCATCCCATTCTGTTGGCAGAAGCAGTTCTGCTCTTTGTAGGGCTCTCTTGTCAGTGACAGCTCTTCTGAAGTGAGTGCCGCGGCTCCTCCGGGCAGTAACAGGTCTCTGGGGCTTTCCAGAGTGGCTTCTCAGCAAGGAGTAACCAAAGACAGCATTAAGGTGCATGCCAGGGTCATCCCTGTCTTATGCTTCATTTGCTTTGTCACTGATCCAGAGCTTGCACAGGCAGAGCAGATGAATGCCTGCTGCTTTTACCACTGCAGCAAGTGCCTGTGTTCTAACAGAGGTGCCTGCTTGGAAAGCAGAGACTAGTTTTGAGACTGTGACAGAAAGTTAATTGTGTTGAGACTTGCCTGCTCTCCAGAGTTGAAACACTCTGGTTCCAGCAGGGGATGGTGTGCAGCTGATGGGATGCAATCCAGACCTTTCACTATAGATTGTGCAGAAATCGTTCTTTTAGCTTCTAGGTGGTAGCAAAAGCTGATTTATGGGTGGTAAGCACATTGTGCTATCCTTGAGAACGGAAAGGCATTGGGGAGAATGGTGCAGGGAAAGACCAGCCTTCCCTTGAAAGCAGAACATGCAGGACATGAGCCTGGTTTTGCATTTTGCTAGATGCAGACACTTCCCATCTCCCTTCCTCCTTTTTCCTCTGTAAAATCCTGTATTTAGGATTCCTTAGGGAATGTAGCCTTGGAGGTAAACCCAAGCATAAATCCTCTGTTCTGTAATCAACCAGCAAAACTGCAGCTGATCCGTGCCCTTCCAACCAACCCGAGAGCACTGAAGCTCCACTGCTGTCCTCGTTTGACTCCAAATTGATCTGAATTTAACAGCCACAGCGGCGTCTCCATCATGCATTGAACATCGGTGATGCGTGGCGGTGGAGCTCCGCAGGGATACGGCGTGTGGGTGTGCAGAGGAGGCTGTCAGCACCGCGAGCACGGAGTGTAAATGTTTAGGAGGGACAGTGTTTGAAAGGCCACTTCATGGGCTGTGTGTTGTCAGTCTTCGGCCCAGCCCATCACAGAAATGAAACGTGGTCTGCGAGAGAAACCAGCAGGACTGCTGCCTCCGTGCCATAGCTGGTACGGGATTCATGCAGGTCTGTATTTGTGTCTTTACTGCAGGCCCCAAGATATTATTGTTTTCATCATTGGAGGGGCGACTTATGAGGAGGCACTGACTGTGTACAACCTGAACCGCACCAACCCGGGCGTCAGGGTCGTCCTCGGCGGGACCACCATCCACAACACCAGGAGGTAACAGCCTTACTGCCAGGGGTCAGCGTGCCTTAAACTGCTAAACCGAATGTGAATGGGTGATGCCTGAGGGATCGTCACTGCTCAGCAGAACACAGAAATGTGTCTAAAAGGTCTGAGCCCAGCACTGCTCGTTATGGCTGAGAGACGTATTATCAAGCTGAAGGTTTAATGTTTGCTTTGCTGAATTCAAGGGCAAGGAAGTAGATCTGTGTAGGTTTTCCTGCTTATAATTCACCATACACTGTACTGTGAATGAAAAGCCAGTGCAGCACGCAAGGATTCAGAGCTGACTGTGGTGTCATTGCTTCTGTTGAAGTCTGGAGCAGTCGCATTTGATAGCAGTGAAGTTAGTGTACCTATGATTAGAATGGAGTTCTGTGATTGCGCTGCTTGCAGGCTCTGTGCTGCCCACGAGCCTGCAGAGCATTGGCTGTGCCTTTTGCATTTCTCCCTGGAGAACTTTCCTTATTGGTTTGTTTTGCACTCTGAGCTGCCTTTCCTGGGAGGCCAGGCAGTTGTGAGGGCTCAGTCCTGGAGGACTGAGAGCAGCCAGGGAGCACCGAGCACGCTGAGCTTCACTGATTTCCTGGGCACTGCCTGAGTCATTCTAGCAGCTGGCTAAAAATGCAGACCATGTTGAGGATTGTTTTCAGTCAGCACAGCTTGCTGCCTCAGCTGAGCAGAGGCATTTGTTGCACGTCTTACAGAAAGTCCAAGTAAGAAACCAGCTGAAGAAGTTGGGACCACCACAGGCCCCTGCCAGAATTTAGGATTCCAAACTTGGTCAGTTTTGCTTTTCTGTATCTTGTTTGCCTCACTTTGGTGACATCTTTGCCTCCCCATCTCACTGGATCCCTAACTAAGCAGATAATTTACTTTGAAATAGCTTCTGCTCCCTGACTGATGTACCTTGTCTCCTGCTTCCACTGAACAACATCTGAGCAGAAAGAATGGTCTCTGTTATAGAATTGCCCCCAGTAATATCCTACCATCTTATTCCAAGAGAACTATTTTCATTCTTTAGGAGGCAATCTGCTGTAGGAGTCTTGTCTGTGTGAGCTGAATCAGGACCACTGGAGAGTGGTCTGTCACTGAACAGCCTCCGAAGGACGCTGCTCTCAGAAGGAGGGAATGTGACAGGTGACACGTCTGTGCCATGTGGTGCAGCAGGAAGTGTGGTGAAATCCAAGGCCTGCGGGAGCCCCTTGGTTGTCCAGCAGCTGCTTGGAGCTGAAAGGGAGCGCCAGGCTGAGAGGGCAGGGCAGCTCCAGTGTGACCAAGTGGGAGCACAAACAGAATGGTGCAGCACTGCAAGAAGTTGTGCTTCTCAACGATGGCGTTTTCAGAGCTGATGAACCACTCTGGGTGCCTCAGCAGTGCTCTGGAGCTCAGGAAGCACACGCTGTCATTGCCACAGGCTCTGTATGTCAGAAACACAGCTGCCAGGCGCTTCCTTGAGCTCAGTTACTGACAGGTGGACACAGGTGTGGTGCATAGGCTAAAAAATGGTTTTGGTTTAAGGCCACGTCTGCACTGTTGCTGCGTTAGGGTGTGATATTTTTAACACCCCTGCACTTTTGCCCTTCCTTTTCACACCTTTAGGCTCCAAAGCTGCCTGCACAAAGCAGTAATAACTCTTATGCAAGGCGTTCCAGTGGTTCCCACCATCACTTTGCTAAAAAAAAAAAAAGCCCAAATCCACCGAATTCCCACTCCAAAATTTGGCCTTTTCTTTGGTTTAATATCAGCTGATGAGAAAGCTCCTGAGCTGGTGATAGCCCAGAAGCAAATTACTGTCATGAACTGGGTTACAGAGGCAAGTCTGTATTAGCCCACATATCAACCAGTGCCTGCTCAAATTACCAGGCTTCCTCGACCTTCTGCTTTCCAGAGTGGCTTTTGAACTAAATCCTCTGCTGGCCAGACCTGGAAATAGTAAGAAAACGAGATCAGACTAGCTGCTTTTTACTTAGGAAACAAAAGAAATGAAGTGAATTGTCATCTTGTAAGGATGCAGAACTGGTTCATGTTCAGCTTGACGTCCAGTGCAGCCTCTCAACCTCTCAGCCTACCATTGCATTCCGAGGCTGATGTTGACATCTGCCAACAGTCCTACATCAAACCTTAACCAGCGTTTGTGCTGAGAGCCTGGATAGCGCCGTCATCACACGACACTGAAAGCACAAAACCAGAGCGAGGATAGGAGGATGGCACAGCTTTTCATTCCAGACTGGAGGCCAAGACCTGCTCTGCAAGGGTATCAGTGCAGCACATTCAGCAGAAACTGTCAATGGGGGAGGGAGAATGGAGGAAACCTTCTGGCAGCGTTTGGTCTAGAAGGAAAACGAGCAGGACAGGCGAGAAGGGATGGTTTTAGTTGTAGGTTCCCACCCCTGCTCTGCTGCTGACCTGTTAGGTGACAGTAGGAAACTTTCTGCTTCGTCTGTTTGCACCAGAAGGTCTCTGAGCTTTGTGAAATTTAAGATTTGCAACTACACTCTTTAGATTTGTGCTGTAAGGAGTAACATTAGCTAGCTGGGGCTTCTACCGTGACTGAGTTTTGGCGCATCCTCTGAATTATTTACAGAAAAACGAGGATACCGTGTCAGAATTTGCATTTCAAAGAATGAAGTGAAAAAAAAGAAATAATTTCGAAAGGCTGTGGCTTTGTAGGGGGCTGATGGTACGGGGTCCTGTCTGGGAGCACTGAGACGAGGGCTCTCAGGAGTCCTGCTCTGAAAATAGCCCTGTCCCAAGTAAGTTGCTTTTCCCTCATGGCTTGAATAAGATTTCCTGAATGAAGGAAGGCCGCGCTGGTAACAGCAGAGCTTCCCAGACAGAAAACTCAGTGCTTTTCAGGGGACGGCTGACGCTGTGCAGGAGGAGGAGCAGCAAACAGAACAGAGTGAGTCAGCTCCCATCAGGTACCTGAGGGGAGGAGGAAGGTTTCCTGTCTGCAGCGATCGTAGCAAAGCGTATGAGGATTCTGGCTATATCAGCAGATACAGCAATATGTGAGCAAACCTGGATTTGATGGTGTTCGAACTGCTCTGGTAATCCACCAGCCTTCCTTTAATGAACCGCTGCTTATTTCTGCTGGATTAGGGCTGATATGTCGTAATAAACAGGGAGATTTTGATATTAATGTGAGGAGCAGCCCGTGTAAGCACACTAATCCCATGCTTTCATTGTTCTTACAGCCCAACTTAAATTGTGATCAACATCTGTGTTTATGGAGTGGGGGGTGGCATAGGGGCATCGCTCCGCTTCTTCTCAAGGCAGGCACAAACAAACCCTCAGAGCTGGTTGTGCCATTGCAGCTCCACATTGGTGTAAAGCTTATTTGTGGAAGAGACAATCTGTGTTGTCCAATGGGATGCTTGAATGGTGGGTGAAAGTGCTCCTTTGCATACTGCCTTTGAAAGGCCTCAATTTGGGCACAGGAAGGACCTTTTTAAAGTTTCTTTATGCTACATGGTGATGTCAAGGAGAATCTGTCTGTGCTGATCTTCATGGATTTGTATCCATATATATGCAGGTATTTAATAGCAATGTCCATGTTCTGAAGTGAGGCATGAAGTCGGGGTTCCTTGTAAATAAATCAGGTTAGAGGCTCTCTTGTTGGAGATTATTCCTTGAGTTAACAAACTAACAGACTGCCCCTTACCATTCGGTGTATGGAAGGACACTGATACGTATTGGAAATGTTCTGAGATCCAGCAGGGTCGAAAAAAATTGGTTGTTTGTCAGGATTTTCAGTGTTTTTGTAATCAAACCACATTGTCTTCCTGTTACTTCAGAAATTTTTGCTGCCCTCCTAAAAACCCTTCTGCTACGATGTGATTCTGAGAAGGATAAGGAAGGGCTTTCCTGTACGATGAGCCCAGGCAGGGATGTGCCCCACAGAGGAGATCCCACAGCTGCTGCGTGCACCATCTGCAGCTCTTCTGCCCGCTGCTCAGCCTGTGGCTCTTCTGCTGCCCCTGCCCCCGGGCAGAAGCACCAAGACGTGAGTGCAGAGCTCCTCTGTGTTCTCCCAGCGAGGTGATGAGCTGTGAGGAGAGGCTGAGGATTGTTAATTGTGGGTTCTTTTGAGAAGTGTGTGTGTAATATGTTTTTAAATTACAGCCATGGTGAATGTGAGAGTTCATTCTTGACTTGACTCCTGGCCATAGCAGTTACTGAGGAACCCGGATAAATGTGGGCAGATCTGTACTGGAGTTGAATCTGTGGGTTCCCGGGGCTTTTCTCCTTGGAGGATTTCCGTACGCTGTTGTGTCTGTAGAAGGGCTGGGTGCTCGCACCAAAGAGCTCTGGAGCCTGCGGCTTTGCTGTGGCTTTAGGGCTAGGAGTGACAGCAAAGTGTGTAATTATGGGGCTGTGGAGCCCGGTGTGTTTGGTTGAGAGCTGGAGAGCTGCTGCCACTTCCCAAAGAAAAAGCAAAGTGATTTCTTGCTGTTGGCAAACAGCTCCAGCACCGGTCCCATGGGCGCACAGCCCTGCTTCTCCTTCACAGCCACCTGGATTGCAAAGAAATTTCACTGGAGAAGGGGTTAAAAGAGATCAATAATGCCTAAAAGGGGATGGATGAGACCCTGAGACCATCTGGTGCGTGGGGCTGACTCATCCGGAGCACAGGTTAAGCAGAAACCTGCTGTGACTAATCCGAGGGGATGCCAGCCTGACCCACTTACCCACTTCCAGCAATAGCTCAGCTGTCTCTTGGTGCCCAGCTCGTGTTGTGATGCTGGTGATGCTGGTGCCCATAGGGGGAGCGCCCACAGCGGCCCTTAGGATCCTTAATCTGGAGGGAACGAGGTGTGGGAGCAGGTGGAGGCACCCCTGGTCCTCTCTGTGCT